GGGGGTGGGACAATGGTAAAGGAAGTGAGGGTGCAGGGTGCTGGAAACAAAGAAGCCAAGAAGGGTCTCAGAGGAAGATGCTTTAGAAGCACGATTTCAAACCGAATGGTCAAGCTTGAGACATCTGGGCATGAGAGGTAGCAGCTGGGCTTGGGATGGCAGCAATCAGGCCCTGGGAAATGCACTGGGCGTCAAGGCAACCGGAAGAAGCCAAGTCAAAGAGGCTGATTTGCAAACAGCACAGGGCTCTGCATACGGAAGCTGCAGCTGCAAACTCAAGGACGGCATTGAGATTTATGGAGTGTGGTTAGGACTTTTGGTCAGCATCAGTCACCTCAGCCAGGCCTGTGACTCACAGCCAAATCTGGATGCATTGTATTATCTGCCATGATAATGGAAGGATGAATGGTGGCTGTGATTGCCTGTACTGCAATCAACCTTTCAAATGGCTAGAAATTTTCATCTGGCCAACCCTTGGCCCAGACAACGACGTCCCAGAGACACAGTGATCACCATGAACAGAAGCAGCTTCAAAGACAAAGGCCAAGGTACACAGCCCAGTGACAGAGGTCCCCACTTTGCCTCAGGTCAGAGCTCAGGTTAACACAGGCCTTCATTGGCGGGCAGGGGCTTGAGGAGAGCGAAGAGCTGGAGAATGGAGAGCACCGAACGGAATAGTTTCACCTCATGGATTCAGAAGCCCTCAGTGGGGCGGTCGCAAAACGTTGGCTCTACTGACGCTGACGAGGCAAACCTCTACACAATTCCATTGCCAGACTATTCAGAAAATTCTGTCACAAAGCTGAGTAAGTCACTTAACTGTGCTACATGTCAGGCTGAATCAACACAACGCAGCAACATCTGGATGGAAATGAAATGCCTCTGTCAGTTGTCGGAGTGTTTTGTCTACCTGACATCAAACAGCTGGATTCTTATAAACATTTGGATGACGCACTGGATTTTTCATTTTTCATTCAGATCACAAAATCACAGATTTGCCCGCTTGGCAGGAACGTAAAGGTCATCTAATCCCTGATATTTGGCATAGCCTCAAATGACCTGTTTCGTGTTATTGTGCAAATCAAACACTGAGATAGGGGTATGGGTTATGTCTAATTATACATATCGTATCTTATGTAAACACGTGTTTATTTTAACATTTTGTTCTCCTTGGCTGTTTAATTGAATTGTAAATGAATCATTTGCAGGGTAAACTAGATTATTACACGTATGAAGATACAATGAAATCCTGTAATTAACCCAGACTTGCTTTTAAAAAAATAAAAAACAAAGGCTGCAGGTGTGTAAATATGCGTGAAGCTTGGTGCTCAGCAGAACCACGCGGCTGCGTGAGTTACCTTTGCACCTGGGGCTACCTGCTTCCTCTTATACGGAGAACAGTTTGCAGGGAAGTTCGCTTCACCTCTTTTCTTCCTTCCTTCCTTCTGCCTGCCGTTCAAGGAACGCAAACCAGGTGGCTGTTCCTAGACTGAGTCAGAAGCAAAAGAAGGCAAAGGACTGTGAAATTCATTCACTCCAGGGATCTGTTTCAGCATCTGAGTCTTTCGCGTCCAGATGGCCAAGGCTTCGTCCCACCCCATCCCCCCTCCATAGTCAGAGAATTCCTTTAGAAACATTCACCCAAATACAGCCTCATGGACACGATGAGGTACGGAAGCGTTCTCTCCAGTCGATGTGGCTGCAGATCTAGTGTAGGTGGATGTTTCATTTCCCTGACATTCTGCATGGAGCTTTACATTTTTAACCAGTGGCCCCGGGAGCCACTGTCTCCTTGATACTGGTGGATGCCATAGAGATGGGTCCATCCAAATGAAGCTACAGGAGCAAATGGGAAACATCTTCCAAAACTAAATAATGTGTGCACTGAGTTAAAATGATAGTCTGGGGAGAGAAAAAGGAAGTTAGAAGGCCCAGGAAACGGAAGAAATGAGATGGTGAGTCAATGAGGCAGGGAGATCCAGGAAGACCGTTCTGGATGGTAGGAGATATAGACAAGGAGGTGCTTATAATGCAATGATGAACATTTATAACAGGATGGAGGGAGGTGGCAGTAAATCAATCAGCCAGCCAGCCAGGCAGCGGCATTTGCTGGGGCCCCACCGTGCACAAGCCATCCTTAGTACTAATAACTGCAGAGAATTAGCCGGGCTGTTGTAAAAGACCTTCCAAGATGAACTTGAAAACGAGTGGAGGAGCCCACCACAGAAGGACAACACCTCTGCGAATGTAAGAGAAGGCAGAACGGGACTGAATAATGAACACACAGCTATAACTGAAGCAGGCAGCAATACAACCCCATGCACAAAAAATAACTCACGCAATCTAGATAGTATAGGTTTAATACATATGTATGTCAGCGTTAACATTTATTGAGTGCTTACTCCACGGCAGATAAGGTATTAAGCACTTTATACCCATTACATCTTATACATGGGAAATACAGGCAAGCCTAGAAACTCTAAACACCAGGTAATATGCCCGTTCATTTTGGTATGAAATGAAATAAATGAAAGGATATGGAGTAGAGATATAAGGACATACCTCAGCATTCAAGGGTCTGACATAAATAGTGGTGACTATTCATGAGTGGCCCTGAAGGTGTAGGACACAGACGAATTTGGAATTTTCTGAGCTACGCGAGTGACGTATGGTGGGCAATGACTCTCTCTTAGCTTTGGGGAGAAATTTGTTCGCTACCCACTGTCTACATCTCAGACAACTTCATTGTTCTATGTGTCTCATTGAGTTTGCCATTCTTTTGAAATGATGCCTTACTGCGTTTTATGGGGGATAGTGTCAACTATTGTTTTAACTGAGAGTTTGATGACTTGCAAGGGTCTTAACAAGTATACTTCACAAAAGCAAAGGTTTCCTGAATTTAGAGGGATGCTGAAGTCCCCTGTTGGGTGTGGGTAAATTCTCCAATGTGTTTCTTTAATCCAGACCTAGGGGAGGCCATGGCGGGTCAGAGGGATCTGTATCTGCAGTTATATTAGAGCTGCAGCTGCGGCAGAGCTTTGCCCTTACGTCGCCTGCAGAGTAACATCTCAATATTATGGGGGGTTTGGGAATGGAGCATTGTAAAATGTATTTTGGATGGGCCAATCTTTTCTTCAAAGGACAGCTGGCCTTGCCCTCCGTTCCCCTGCTGTGCCGGGGGAAGAGGCCCTGGGCTGTCTCTTGAACAAAGATGGCTGGTTCTCTACCACAAGAGCCTCCTTTCTGCTCTCTGCTCCGACGCCTGGTCAACTCCTGATCCAGCAACCCCGGTCACGTGCCATGTTCTGCAGCAACTGAAGTAATGTTTAAACAAGGCAATAGGTTCTTTCAGGAAGTAGAACTGGAAAACTCCAAAAAGGAACTCCAATCAGAGCTATGAGAAGCATCAAGAGGATAAACTCGGCAGATGAGTGCAGCCTGACAGAATAGCCTGTCATGATGGTGGTTACAGAGGTGAAAGACCACCCCTGGGGTTGGATCCGCCCAGTGTCCATGTGACATTTCCCTCACTGTGAGGCCACTGCTGCCAGATGCTCCTATGACGTCTCTCTCCCATCGCCACAGGTGTGCCTCAGTAAGCACCCCACTGACTGAGGTAGTCCGAAGGAGTGTGCTTCCCAGAAAACAAAAAATCCCGGGACCCTCAGACTGGTTAGGGATCATTAGTCAGTGCTACATGCACAGTAAGGTCCGAGGGTGAGTGGAACCCGTCACGCTACCAGTGTGTGGGAACTAAGATAGAAACTGAGAGTAAGCTACAATCACTTCAAGAACTATAAAATACTTAGGAATAAACTTAACCAAAGAAGTAAAAGACCTATACTCTGAAAACTATAAGACACTGAAGAAAGAAATAAAAGAAGATACAAACAAATGGAAAAACATTCCCTGCTCATGGATAGGAAGAATTAATATAGTTAAAATGTCCATACTGCCTAAAGCAATATATAGATTCAATGCAATTCCTATTAAACTACCTA